AGACACCAAAGAATCCACACAGGAGAAAAACCACATAAATGTCTGGAATGTGGAAAGAGCTTCAATGTGAGAGGAAACCTTGACAGACATCAGCGAACCCACACAGGAGAAAAACCCTACAAATGCCTTGAGTGTGGAAAGAGCTTTACTGACTCTGGAAACCTCCGTCGACATCAAATCATTCACACAGGAGAGAAACCCTATAAATGCCTGGAATGTGGAAAGAGCTTAAGGACGAGCGGATATCTGTATGTGCACCAAATGATTCACACAGGAGAAAAACCACATAAATGTCTGGATTGTGGAAAGCGCTTCAGGATGAGAGGATACCTTTACAGACATCAGAGAACCCACACAGGAGAAAAGCCACAAGTGTCTGGAGTGTGGAAAGAGCTTCAGTATGTGAGGAATTCTATATGTACATCAAAACGTTCACAGAGGAGAAAAACCACATAAATGTCTGGAGTGTGGAAAGAGCTTCTGTATGAGAGGACATTTTGACAGACATCAAAGAATCCACTCAGGAGAAAAACCCTACAAATGCCTTGAGTGTGGAGAGAAAAATGATAAACATGCCTGAGTGTGAGAAGACCTTCAGTCGCAGTGTGTATCTCAGGAATTGAACTGCATATTCATTTTGGCCAAGTGTGAATAGACACGCTAGGAATTTGTCCCGAGTGCACAAGCTCTCAGTGTACTTACAAGGGAACGGAATAATTATATTCATGATAATTATAATTCAAATATGAGGGTTGAGTAAAGAAAATTTTAAGAAGGGTAAATAACTGCCAAATAAGGGACTTTCCCAGGCTGATTGATAAAGGACTTTTTCAATTGTACGTGGGAGATGTTTCAGCTGGCTGAAATTGTACCTTTTCACAACAAGATGTATGTGACATATGATGCCATTTCCCTTGTGAACCTTTTAATCCAATGTTAATTTCAGTGGTTATGCTTAATATTATGGGATGTTATTGCCCATGTCTCTGATGTAACTGTAAATGAGCAGG